ATTATTATTTCGAGTAAAGCAAATAGTCGATCCGCGTCTACCCCTAAACTATCTGTTAGTAGTCTGTCCGGATTCGACCGAATATTTTCAAATTGCGATACTGAATTTTCGCGGGGTTGTTGCGTCCCGTCGGCTGATGTCGTTGTTAATGTTCTACGCATATTGGCTATTTCTCTATCGATCGCGTGATTCATTTTCCGGTTTTCTGCGATTTCCGCGTACATATTTGGTACCGGTGAGACAGGCATTCCGTTCTCACTAAATATCTCATTTGGATCAAAGGTACTGCTATCGTAGGATGATAACGAAAAATCTCCTCTGAGAGAGAGATTACTGGGCGTTCGACTGATTATTAGTCTCGCATTTTTAGGTTTTATTACGGATGCTTCCGCTTATTCACACGCGTTGGTCGCTATGAGGGAAGTATCGGTCGTACTTTCTGCTTGGTCAAATCGTGTTGTTCCGTGTGGTTGATCGGGTAATTTGATATCTTCCTCAGAAGATTAATAATTCTCTAGATTTTTCCGAATGCGTTCTGCGATATCTTGTACGGTTGACTCAGCTAGGTGCAATAGTTTTACTGTAGGAATCTGCATGAGTAGCCTTATAGATTTTAACGCGGGCTCATTATGCAACCACGATTTGTTTTTTAAGTGTGCGTATGACTCGAGACGTCCCTCTGACATTCGCGATAATTTCTCGATACAATGATCGTAATTCGTTGTCGACTTACATTAGCGCATATTGCTTGTTGCTGTGCTGCGAACGGCTCGAACTAGCTGGCGTCTGGACTGTGATACTGTTGCGGTAGGTCGGTACCTCGGTCGCAGTTTCGCTGTCGTTCTCGGGTCCGATGTCGTTGTCTCCGTTGCTCAGCTGGTTGTTGCCCCTGGTCGGTTCTCCAGTAGTTGATGTTTGCGTTGACGGCTTGGGCCTTTTCTCTCCTTAGTGAGCTTTTCCGGGGACGATACTGCTTGGTGCCTATCTATGGGTCGGCAATTTCCGTCGGTCTCGGCTCCACTTTGGTAGTCGTCGTAGTACGAATTTCTGTCAGCTGTCCTGGCTGACTACTGCACTTGTTGGTGACGCTTCTTCAATGTGTTTCGAGCCTCTTATTCACTCACTCTCTTCCTTGATTTTATCACTGGTTTTCGTGCAATATTTTCCACGAGTAATTCTCGTTTTTTGTTTCAGATGTAGGTTTGCTGACAATCTTTTAAAACAATCCCACCGCTGCTACCAAATTGTTGCGGGATCGTTGTACGAGACGATGGTAGTGAGGAGATTAAGACAATACTTAACAAAGAAAAGGTTTTTATTTGTCAGACCCTCCTTTCGCTGCTGCGCTACAATCGCGTCTTAGAGATAGATCTTAGATAGGTCTTAGAGATATACGTCTGGTTCGGTCGGTCGGTGGTCTGGCTCTGCTCTGCTCTCCTTAGGCGTCGGCAGTAAATTTATCTAAGCTCGTCGCCGAAGGAAGCTGCAAGCGTTGCAGAAGCATTGCGCCACTTGTGACCGTTTGTCCATGCAGACAGTGCATTATTTGTCTGTTGCCAAATGTAGGACATTTGGGACTTTTTGCTGTGTGGTGTGATGCTTAGCTTGCAATACGTGCGACATAGGCGGAAGTGCTTCGCATGGCACTTTCGCCAATATAATTAATGTATATTAATTATAGGTAATTCGTCATGCCTACTGAGGGCATGACACTCCCCAGCGGCCGCCGATTGCCGCGGAGGGGGTGGCTGAGGGAGAGAGGGCCTGCTGCCCGCAGCTGCGAGCGCTGGAGAGGGAAAAACCCTAATGCCCAATGCGGACGATTTCCTTGAGGCCCCGAATCTATATTTCAAGGGCCGCAAGGTGTCCATCGGGCCTCCACCATCCTCTCATAGTCCTCCAGCGCCTCCTCCACATTATGGAAGCAAGTGCCGGTGAACTCATTCAAGGCAGCCAGGAGCCTCCCCTTGTATCCCCCAGCTGATTTTTCGCCCGGCTCGACCCGAAGTCTCCGGAGGTATCTAATACCTCCGAGGTATTAGATACCGGAGGTATCTAATACCTCCGAGGGCATCGGAGGCCAGGCTCTTCTCTACCCGTAGGGGTTTCCGCATGGGCGGAATCCCCAACTGGTGCCGACGCACTCCCCACCCTCAGCAACTCCCTCCAGCACATTTCGAAGAGAAGCTCCCCCAGCCGTAGTGGCATATTCGCCCTCGATCGGCAGGAACTTCTCCCCCGGGAATTGCCTCTCCCAGATTTGCGAGGCGGACAAATCTCCCCTAAGCGTCCCACTCTCGCGTTCCCAGGAGGTCTCACTCCCACCCGCCGGGAGGACATCATCGTCCTCCGACGAATGGGAGCAGGCCCCCCTGTCCCTACCTTGGGAGATGGGCGACCCCCTCTCCCTTCTTCGGGAGAGAGGTCCCATCTTCCTCCTCTTTTTAGACTCCCTCGGGGGGTCCGGGGGCGAGTCATACCGACTCGTCCCCGGGACCCCCTCAGGAGCCACCCTATGGATGGTAGTCTGTTCCAACGGCGCGCCCGCTTGGCACGCGCCGTCTAGCCCGTCGCAGGATATCGACGAGGGAGGGCCAGGACAATACGCCTCAGTACGCCGTTTTCCGGCTCCGAGTGCCGGAAAGTTACCACCTTTCTTTGACATCTATTCATAAATGCAGGGGTTTTACGTGGCCACCTTCGGCCGCCTCGGGCCCGCCTTCGATGTATCGATGGGGGTGGGTGGGAGAGGGGGTAAACTCTCTCGCCCACTCTGGGTGATGGCAGGAAGAAGGCGGTGAGGACCGGTTGGGGCCGGGCCTCGCTCCCTTGCCCTCCCTGCCCACCCAGTAGGGAAGGGGGAAGGCGGGGGCGAGGAGGGAGAGCGGGTGTCCCCTCTTTCCTAATTAACACCAGACAACCGGCCGGGGCACTGCGCCCTTGACTCCCAATCTGGGAAGGGCGCGGTACTTAGGCGTGGGGCTCCACGAGAGCCCTGGGGCTGGGGTGTCGGGGAGGGAATGCAGGCGTAGTTCCCCTGACTCCCCCCACCACGGTCCGAGCGGTAAGCACCCCGCAGGGGTTTTAGTCGATAGAAGTCCGACATAACCTCCGCCCTCCCCAAAAGGGCGAGGGTATCTATAAGGATTTCCTCTGTGTGACCAAAAAAAGGGGTTTTACGTGCTTCTGCACACACGGGTTTATATTCGGGGTTTTCCTTCCTCTAGACCGGCTGCCTCCCCAAGGCTAACGAGCCCGCTCTACCCGCGCTGTAGGGACCTTCGGGTCGTACGACCCTCCAATTCCTGGTTATCTCCTGGATGCAGCTGCCTATCCAGAAGCGGACGCTCTTACAAGCTTGTAACCTTACTTGTTAATAAGATCCCTCCGTACAGACCACTCCGCCATGGTAGAACCTGCCAAGTGCCGAAAACCCTGCCGGTACAGCTCTGTACATCACTGGGACCCTCAAGCTCCCCCACCACGACAAGGTGGCGCCCACGGGGGGATTACATACATATTCATTTAACGTCGATGGCAAATTTATAGCTATAAAATTATTAACATTAAAGAAATTATGGTTTATAACTTTTTTAACCTACACTCAAATTTAGAAATATTTTTCACTTAAAATATTATTAGACAATTAATACTCTCCTTTAATATGCTGTTTTACAAATTTTATGAAACGTTTTGCCATTTTTCTTCACAATCATTATTTGTTTTCTTTAGTTCTTCAATTATAACTCAAAGTCTCCAAGACATTTGTCTCTACGCCACAATCATTACTTATTTGACACTACGTATATGCTATCCTTCTGCTCTCCTAATAAGTGATAGCACTGACGTATGAAGCAGTGGCTGTCTTTCTCTTCAAGTTGGAACGCGTTCCGAAGTCAACAAAATATCGGTGCACATACCTTTTAGATCAGGGAGTCGGTCATGAATCTTTTCACGTGAATTTGATTTTACCTATCAATCATATAACTTTTTTTCTAGGATAAAATCGTGGAAAAAGGAAAATTTTGCGATGTTTGTAATAATTTTAATAAAATTTGCTTTATTTATTACACATTTTATAAAATGTTTATAATGCATAGTTTATAGTTACCATGTCTTCTATTTAAACTTCTAAAAAATTGTTTGTATCAATACGATTTAGCAATCATTTAACCTTACAAAGCTAAACTTACTAAACCAATCTGTAATCATACCAATTTTACATACGAAAAGCTATGCGTATAGTAAGTGTATTTTCCACATTTTAGCCATCAAGCGACTTGGCTAAAAAGTGAAAAATAATGCATACGTATTTCGTATTTATATTTAAAATATCTAGTGATATTTTGTAACTTTCAATAATATATCTAAAATAATGCGCTTTTCTCTGTAAAAGATAGTTCATGGTTGATAATTCATGCGATGTATGTTTCTTTGCAAGTGTGTTAATTTGTGCATATGAAATATTTTATAATAATTTATTTTCGTTCGTAAATATTGTTAAAATGAATACGACGCAAGAACAAAAAGAAATGATACTTCAGTGGATGAAGTTAAATCCCGAAGTAGCAAGAAGGAGATTACGTAGAAAAGGCGAAAGTCGAAATGAAATGGTAAGTATTGTTTGTACATTTTGAGAGAGAATACAATTGTTTTATATGTAATGTTATAATTGTAGAAGAAATTATTGGAAGACTTGGCAAGAACAATAAATGCAGCTAACGTTGGTCCTATTAAAAGTAGTGCAGAATGGTTAAAGGTTAAGTTAAATTCTGTTTTGATAATCACACATTTATGAAAGAGAGATAACCTCATAGATCGGCAAAAGAAGATTAACAAAAGTTTCTGCACAAGTCAAATCGGAAAGGAAGTGTTATTCATCATTATGAATATATCTATTAAATCCTCATAGTAAATTAAAGCAGTAAATTAATGAGTCTACAACATACTAAAAATGATATACGATAAATGTGCAGTAAAACGCTCTTCTCTCCGATTTATCATGCACAGGAACTGTTGCTAATTTTCATATTATCTATATTTTTAATATGATAGATGATGGATGTAATAAGGTGAAAGATTTCAATAATTGTTAAACAGCTCATACAACATAATGTCTAAAATCAGAACATAAGACATTTAAAAGACTTCTCTCAGATATCGGAATGTAAGATATCACTAAGACATCTTTAAGATGTCTTATTTCCCGATTTTAGACGTTATATTGTATGGGAAGATGCCTCTACAGAACAAATATCTGAAATACATGTCATGGATATCCTATAGATATTGCAATATTTATAGAATATCCATGAGGTGTATTTTGGATATTTAGTCTGTATGATGTATATTATTAAGGAAGTAAAAAATATATACACAAAAGTTTAAATTATTCTATACATATATTATGTAGAGAATATCTAATATAACTTTATTTATATCATTGATATTAATATATTGATTGATTGATAATGCTTTATTGCTCCCTACTTAGTGGGCTTACACTCCTCCCATACAATTTCTCTCTCTCCGCGCCTTCCAACTTCCTTAACCTATTCTATCGCCATTCTACCTCCTACCTACACACACACACACACGCTGCCCTATCCTGGACTTCTGTTTCCGTTTACATTCTCTCTTGTGGGTACCCTACCCTCTTCCCTCTCCCCCCACCCTTCCCCTCCCATCATCCCCCTCTCTCCCCCTCATCTCCTCTATCCCCCTCATCTCTCTTCTCCCTCTCCTTCCTCTCCCAACACCCTTCTTACCGCTTCTTGCCAACTTACCCCCTCCCAACTCCATCTCCTTCCACACGTCTCCCATATATGCTCCCATGTCTCCTCCTCCCCCTCACAAACCCTACATCTCCTTTACTCTTCCTCCTCCCAATACCTCCCCCCTCTCACCTCACTACCTAATCTGAACCGAATTATTCTCTTCCATCTTTCCTCCGTCAACCCCCTCTCCAGATATTTCGGCACTCCATCCCCTCTTATCTCCTTATACCATACATTATATCCCGACTCTCTTATCTTCCTCCATCTCTCCTCTCTTTGTCTCTCTCTCTCCCTCTCCTCTACCTCCTTATATTCCATCCCTCCCTCTTCTATCCCCCTCTCCCTCCTGAACTCCTGTCTTTCCCTTTCCCATCTCCCTATTATCTTTCATCTTCCCCACTTCCCCTTCATTTCTTCCCAGCATTTCCTCGCCATCTCCCCCCCCCTCTTCCAGCCTTTTCTCAAAATTCCATGCTCTTCTGCCTGCTCTTGTCCTCATCATCTCCCTTGCCAGCTCTTCCCTTATCATGTATCCCGGCGTCCTTCGGTCCACTCCCATTGTCCATCTCATATACCTTTCATGCATTTTTTCTATCTCTTCTCTCTCTTTCCATCCCCATATTTCCGCTCCATACCCCGCTACTGTCTACACCAATGTATCAAATAGCCACATTCTCCTTTTCCAATCTTTTCCCCATATCCTTTTCCCTATCCCCCATACTTCTCTCATTACCACCGCCGCCTTTTTCCTCCTGTCTCTCAGTTGCTCTTCTTGCCCCCCATTCCCTTGTATCCAGTATCCTAGGTACTTGAATTTTTTCACTTCCTCCAGCCTCTTTCCCTTCCATAACCATCCTATTTTCTTTTTCCTCCCTCCCCCTTTCCTAAACCTCATTATTTTCGTTTTTTCCGTATTTAACTCCAAGCCTTTCCTATCCAAGTACCCTTCCAACATACAACATACTCCTCATTTCCTGCTCCTCCTCTGCCAGTAGCACACCATCATCCGCGTATGCTAGTGTATATATCTTTCCCTCTCCCAGCCTTACCCCTCCCCATCCTCCCCTCGCCATTTCTTCCTCCATATCCGCCATCATTATATTAAAAAGAATTGGGCTCAGTGGACACTCTTGCCTGACGCCTCTCGCCGTCCAAAACTCCTCTCCTATCTGCCCTCCCACTCTCACCCTACTCTTTGTCTCTCTCAGCATTTCTTCCACCCTTCCCACCAAACCTTCTCTGACCCCTCTTTCTCTCATTGTTCTTATCAACACACTCCTGTCCACCGAGTCGAACGCCGCTCTCAGATCTATGAATACCGCTGTCAACCCTCCCCCTTCCCTCCCTACCTGCCTGTTAATCAGATAATTCAACGCATATATTTGGTCTATTGTTCCCATTCCTTCCCTAAACCCTGCCTGATTCCCCGTCAATAATCTCTTCCCTTCCAGTTCTTCTTTCAATCTTTCCGCTAGCACCTTCGCATAAACTTTGTACAACGACGGCATCAGTGTTACTCCTCTGTACTCCTTCACTGTCTCCCCTTTCCCCTTCTTTATTATTGGCACTACTATTCCCTCCTTCCATTCCTCTGGCCATTCTTTTCCTCTCCACACCCTCCTGCAAATGTCCCCTGCCCACCTCCCCACCTCTTCTCCTCCATATTTCCATACCTCATTTGGTATCTCATCCGCCCCCATTGCCTTCCCATCCTTCAATCTCCTTACCACCCTTCTTATTTCCTCCCACTCTATCTCCGCCTCCTCTGCCTCCTCTCCTCCCTCCCTTCCTCCTCTCACCACTCTTCCTTCTACTCCCCCTAACACCCCCATAAAATATTCTTTCCATTCCCTCATTCCTATCTCCCTACTTATTCTTTCCCTTCTTTTTGTTTCCTTATTCACCAGTTCCCACACTTTATTTTCCGTCTTTGCCTTTTCTATTTCTCTCTCTATCTTCTCCTTCTCTTCTCTCTTTTTTTTCTCGCACAACCTCTTGTAATCTTTCTTTCCCTCCCTATATTCCTTCTCCTTTCCCCCTCCTCTCCTCCATTCCCTTAGCCTCTTCCTCACCTCCCTCTTCTCTCTTCTACATTCTTCGCCCCACCACCCTCTTCTATCACCCTTTTCCTTCTCCCCCTCTCTGTCCCATTTTTTCAACGCTTTCTTTATCCTCTCCTCCCTCTCCTCCATTTCCTCTTCCAACCCTCCGCTCCTTCTTTCTTGTTCTCCTATCTCTCTCCTAAACCTCTCTCTTCCTTCCACATCCCATCTACCCCTTTTTATCCTCTCTCCCCTTCCTTCCCTTCCCTCCCTTCCCCCCTTCCTCCCCTCCTCCCTTATCGATACCACCATCGGATGGTGATCCGAATCTATTTCATCTCATATTTCTAACCTCTCTATCTTCCTCCTCCCTTCTCTATCTGCTATCACGTAGTCTATGACCGTATTCCCTCTTCCTCCCGTGTAGGTGAATTCTCCTTCCTCGTCTCCCTTTATATTTCCGTTCAATATTTCCCATCCCCTCTCCTCTATCACCCTCACCATCTTCCTCCCCTCCTTATTTATTTTCTTGTCTTTTGACTTCCTTCCTCTTTCGCCCTCCCCTCCCCTCCCTCTCCTCCCCCTCCCTCTTCCCCCGTTCTCGCGTTAAAATCTCCCCCTATTAATGTTCTTCCTCCTTCTCCTTCCTCCATCTATTCTTTCATTCCCTCCATTTTTCGTTCCAGATCTCCATTCACATACACTCCCATAACTCTCCATCTTTTCCCTCCTGTTCTCACTACCCCCTTCATTCTGCCCTCCTCCTCCTTCTCTTCCCCCTCCTCCCCTATCACCCTCATTTCCTTTCTTATCCCCATCAACATTCCCCCACATGCCCTCCCTTTTTTGTTCTTTCGTCTCGCCAATTGTACCTTCCACATATACTCCCCTGGCAACCTCCCCCTTATCCTCTCCCACCCTTTCCCATCTAACCACGTTTCCATCATCACTACTACTTCCCATTCCTTTAACTTCTGCCAAAACTCCTTGTCCTTATTCGCTATTCCTGCTACATTCCAGAACGCTACTCTCCATCCTCCCTTCTCTCTTTTTTCCCTCTCCTTTTTTCTTTCTTCCTCCTCTCTCCCCTTCACCCCTCTTCCCCCCTCTCCCTCCGTCTTTTGTTCCCTCTCCCCTGTCCTATCCTCCGCCCCTGCTCTCTTTTCTTGTTTCTTCTCTTTTTCTTTTCCGCCCCCCCTCTTCATTTCCGTCCTATCCACCTCCCCCTCCTTCCCCATTCCCTTCCATCCCGCCCCTTCCCCTCACCTCTCCCCCCACACCCTCCCACCTCCATCTCCACCTGCCCTCCCCTCACTTTGCCTTCCCTTGTCCTTCCCCCTTCCTTTCTTCCTCCCTCCACTTCTGCCCCTTATCATTCCTCAATACTTTTTCCTCTATATCCCACCTCCACCATTCCTCATTTATTCTCACCCTATTCCCAATAAACGTCCTTTTTCCTTTTGCTTTTTCCTCCCTTGCCACCCTTCTTACATTCCATCTCCCCCTTCTTTCTTCCACCGTTAAGTCTTCTTCTATCCATATTTCCCTCCCTTTCAAGTTCTTTTTCTTTTCCAACACTCTCTTTCTCTCCTCCCCACTTTTCATTTCCACCCCTATCATTTCTCCTAGTTCTTTCCTATCTACCTTTATTTTCCTTATCTTTTCTATCCTTGCCTCCGCTCCTATTTCCTTCAATAATTTCTCCACTTCTTCCTTCTCTCTCCCATTCTCTGTTTTTAACCCTCTTATTATAATATTCCTTTTCCTACTCTCCCTTTCCTTCCTTTCCATTTCCCTCTCCATTCTCCTTATTCTCTCTTCCATCTCCTTTTTATTTTCCTTTTCCTTTTCCTTTTCCTTCTCCCCCCTTCCCCTCTCCTTCAACTTATCCACCCTTTCCTCCAATTTCCTTATCCCCTCTCCTCTCTCATCTCCCCTCCCCTCCCCCTTCCTTTCTTCCCCTCTTCCTCCAAGCTCCTTATTTTTTCTACCATTTCTCTCCTCTCTTTTTCCCATCTCTCTTCCTTCCTCCTCATCTCCTCCCTCATCTCTTCCATCCTCTTTTCTATCCCCTCCAATCCCTCCTTCATCTGTTTCTTTATTTCTCCTATATCTTCCCTAATCGCTATTGCCATTTCCTTGCCCATTTTCTCGCACATTACCTTAAACCTCTCCTCCTCTTCTCCTCCCCCTCTTCCCAACTTCAGCTGCACCTTTTTCCTTTCTCCTCCCGTCTCCCCCTCCCCCTCTCTCCTTCATCTCCTCCCTTGTCGCCTCTCTCTTTCTCTTACTCCATTCTACACTCCTTCCACTCCCTGCACTCTCTACACTCCCTACACTTCCTACACTTTTCACACTTCCCCTGCTTCCTGTGCTCCTCAATCTTTCCCTTTCCCCTCTTTCTCCCACTAACCCCCTTAAGTCTCTTTTTTTCCATCCTCCATCTCCCTTTCTAACCTTTCTCTCCCTTTTCTTCTTGCCTACTCCCTCTGCTCCCTACCTACTTCCTCCTTTACTCACTTCCCTCTGGCGCTGTTACCTCTCCCGTCATCCACTGTTACCACTCTATCTCCACTCTATTCCTCTATACTCTATGCCCTTCTTCCTGCCTTGTCACCCAACCTTCTTGCTCCTGAATTCCTCTCTGCCCTGTTCCACCTTCCTATCCCTTTCCCTTCCCCTCCCTCTCTCCCCTCCTCTCCCTCCGCCCTTTCACCCTCTTACTCACTCTCACACCCACACTCTCTCTCTTTCTCACCACATTCGCGTTACAATTCCTCGCTACTCACTCGCACGTTACACTCCTACGCTACTGCAAACGGAAGTCCGATATTAATATATATTGCCAATATAATTTATAAAATATATAAAGGTATTTAAAGAAGGAGCTGCGCCACTCCGTTATTTTTATATTGAGTATTTTTATACACGATTTATCACAGTACATCTTTCTGCATCACCACTGACAGATTTCCTAATCTCAAAAATATAACTTTTTATCACTTAATAACTCCTTTTTTAATCGAAAACGTTATATTTTACTTGATCTATATCTTATACATTGAGATACAAAATATTAAGTTTCAGCAAAATCTATGAGGAGGTCGCCTCCCTTTTATAATTACAAATTTTAATGTTATTACAATATAAAAAAATGATTCATGTTTTACATTTATAGACTTGGAAAGATTGGAAAATGTACGTCCTGAAAAATGAAACGAGAAGAAGAAATCAGACAGTTTAATAACAGGAGGAGGATCACCAATAAACATATATTTTTCTTCTTTAGAAGAGGAATTATTAAATTTTATTACTCCCGAAGCAGCAGGTATGGATAATAATAAGGGGGAATATATTTAGATGTCACATGTATAGAAACAATTTCAGATATGCAAGATAAAGAAAATTTACATTTTGAAGAAAATAAAATATTGCCACAGAAAAGATTATATAAAAACTATGAATTTCAAAGTAATACAGGTAAGATATATACTTATTAACACACTTATTCTTATTTATTTTTTGTCTTATTGTTATATTTATTTGAGAAAAAGTAAAACAAATTCTATATTTATATAAAATTAATATCAGGTGTAGTAAAAAGAAATCCATTATTTTTCCAATAGATGGCTTTAGTTATCTGTATCTCGCGTTGTATAAGTTTGATCGGGTTCCACTAGTTGGCGTTAGAAAGATGAGATTTCGTACTAAAAAAACCTTTCTGACAGTTTTGTGATTAGTTGCCTCAGTTTTGTTTGAGCGCGCGTCAAAAATGGACACTAGCAAAGAGAAAATACGCTATATTTTACAGTTTTTCTTCGATAAAGGCGAAAACACAAGCCAGGCAGCTGAAAATGTGAATAGTGTTTATGGTCCTGATACTGTAACAGCCAATCACGCGCAATTTTGGTTTCGTCGATTCCGTTCCGGTAATTTCGATGTCAAAGATGCACCACGCACTGGAAGGCCAATTGTCGAAAATATCGATAAAATCATGGACATTGTCAAGTCCGACCGTCATGTAAGCACTGTTTCGATTGCCCAAGAGCTAAGGATTGCACAAAAACCGTTTGGGACCATTTGAATAAGGCTGGATACAAAAAGAAGCTCGATGTATGGATGCCACACGAGTTAACGAAACAAAACCTCATGGACCGAATTTCCATCTGCGAATCGCTGCTGAATCGCAACAAAATCGACCCATTTCTGAAGCGGTTGGTCACTGGTGATGAAAAGTGGATCACTTACGACAACGTCAAGCGAAAACGGTCGTGGTCGAATCGCGGTGAGCCGGCGGAAACGGTGGCCAAGCCAGGATTGACGGCCAGGAAGGTTTTGCTGTGTGTTTGGTGGGATTGGCAGGGAATTATCTACTATGAGCTGCTCCCCTACGGCAAAACTCTTAACTCGGAACTGTACTGTCAACAATTGGACCGTCTGAAGGAAGCAATCGCCCAGAAGCGGCCAGCTTTGGCCAATAGGAGAGGAATTGTGTTCCATCAGGACAACGCCAGGCCACACACATCGATAGTGACTCGCCAGAAGCTCCGGGAGCTTGGTTGGGAGGTTCTTATGCATCCACCTTATAGTCCAGACTTGGCACCAAGTGATTACCATCTGTTCCTGTCCATGGCGAACAATTTTGCTGGTGGAAAATT